TCCTGTTGTTGAGTACTACAAGAGAAAGAATCGCTGCATTGAGGTATTCCAAGCAATAGTTCTATCGTCTTTTATCGTACTTAATTTGATTCATTCTAGATTTCATCCATACCACCAGTGGATGAAGTGTATGCGGAAGCTAGGAAACATTTTGAGGAAGAAATGTAGGGAGGGTAGACGATGGGGTAAAATATACCAGCTTTTGGATGTCGCTGCTTTGGTCATCATTGAAAGCCACGTGATTATGATGATAAATATATACCTGGGAGATGATAAGCTACTGGCGCAGTCTAGCGAGAAAGACGAACAAGCATCCAAATTGTCCACAGAAACGGTCAACGAACGAGATGGCAAGATACCGCTCTCGCTCACGTTCCCGTTCTCAGGACTCCAGAGACAAGGACGCCTCACCAGAGTATAAGCGACGAAAGCATGACGACGACGACCATGGCTCTCGTCGCAAGGAGCACAGGGACCGTTCAAGCAGAAAACATCGGTCAGAAAGGGACAGAGACAGCCGGCGGGATCGTAGCAAAGATCGAAGCAAAGACAAATCACGCAGTGAGAGATCTCGGCATTCCAAGTCCAAAGACGAGGATCGTGATGGCCATAAGGAGAAAGATCACCGCAGCGACAGAGAGCGGTCTGGGTCGGTGACACACCCTACGGTGGAATCCAGCACAAATGGCCAGACACGGACAGAACACACGGTAAGAACTGATGGGAAGGAGAGCCCAAAGCGCCTCAGCGATGCTATGGACATCGATACCGTGGACCACCGGCAGCAAAATAATGGTCAGATGCATACAACAGGGCAAAATGTCGCCGTGAAGACCGGGTCAGCTGTCAAGGTATGTACAGTTTGACATTACTCACTCCTTGGACAGTGGTATTTATGTGGCTTGCACGGCAGACCAACGAGTCAGGGAAAGACGAGAAACAGGTGCAGGTATGTGTTTCGATTGTGATTCATGTTCTCTCTCACGGGCCTCCATATCATGCGTAACCCCATCATTTCAGGAGCAACCTGCTACACCAGTAACTGATGCAGAAGAGAAGTTGCGACAGCGACGAGAGCGAATTGAACAGTGGCGACGGGAAAGAGCAGCAAAGGAAGCCGCAGAAAAAGGTGCCGAGGAGACCTCGACGGCGGAGGCGAGCCCGGTCTCGGTAAAGAAGGGAGACGGAGTAATTCCGGAGAAGGATGGCAATATAACTACCAAGTCGCGTGGTGCAGTCGCAACAGGTAAGATGACCTAAATGCAGCTCAATATGACCGGCAACCAACTGAGCTTTACTATTTTGGTCAGGCGGGCCAGCACCCACAACCACATCACCAAATCATGTGGTCCGGAAGAGAGAATCATCTATAGCCTTTGGTGCTTCTGGATCAAAGCCAGGTCCCAAGTCGGTTGCAAAGTTCGGGTTTGGTAAATCGGTGAAATCCGGAATATCTATCAAACCGACCGTTATAGCCCCCAAGCCATTAGCGATAAAGCCAAAGTCGGCCTTTAGCTTTGAAGCGGATGATGACGAGGCAGCAGTGTCTAGATTACCCAGTAAAAAGCTGCGGATGTTAGGCACAGACGATATGGAGGTGGATGCTGGCAAGGCCACCGAGAACGATGATGATCAGGATACTCTGGAAGCGTTTATGGAGGATGTAAACACTGAAGTTCAGAAGCTGAATGAGGATGACCAATTGGCGCAACAACAAAACGAACCTATGGACGTAAATGAAGCCAACGATCAAGAAGATGATCAAGAGGCCATGAGTGACGACCCTGATGATTTGATTGCAGCTGCTGCTAAAAAGCTGGCGGCGAAGCGCAAGGATTTGGCACCAGTCGATCATAGTACTCAACATTACGAGCCGTTCCGAAAAGATTTCTATATTGAACCACCTGAACTTGGGGATATGACTAATGAGGAAGTAGAACTAAAGCGAGCAGAACTAGATGGTATCAAGATTCGTGGAGTCAGGTGCCCCAAGCCAATTGAGAAGTGGACGCAGTTTGGTCTTCCAGGAGGAGTTGGTGAAGTGATAAGGAGGATTTTGAAGTATGACAGGCCCACACCAATTCAAGCGCAAGCTATACCGGCGGTTATGAGTGGGAGGGATGTCATTGGCATCGCCAAAACGGGATCGGGAAAGGTATGTATGTCTTGTCTACGTGTTGCATTGTTCATCTCATTAATGAACGACATGGTTGTAGACGATCGCTTTTCTGCTTCCAATGTTCCGACATATCAAAGATCAACGTCCTTTGGAAGCTCAAGAAGGACCAATCGCGCTTATCATGACCCCAACACGAGAGCTTGCAGTGCAAATCCACAAAGAATGCAAACATTTTGCTCGGGCACTGAATCTCCGTGCAGTTTGTTGTTATGGCGGTTCACCGATTAAAGACCAGATCGCGGAACTGAAAAGGGGAGCTGAAATTATCATCTGTACACCAGGAAGAATGATTGATTTGCTGTGCGCGAACAGCGGCAGAGTTACAAATCTAAAACGTGTTACCTACCTTGTCCTTGATGAAGCGGACCGTATGTTTGACATGGGATTCGAGCCTCAGGTCATGCGGATCGTTAACAACGTGCGCCCCGATAGGCAGACTATCCTGTTTTCAGCTACATTTCCGCGAAAAATGGAAGCGCTTGCTCGAAAGATTCTGCAAAAGCCACTGGAAATTACCGTCGGCGGCAGGAGTGTTGTGGCGTCCGATGTCACTCAAATTGTCGAGGTGTTACAGGACGATAATGCTAAATTCTTACGGTTGCTCGACATTCTTGGTCGCACATTCAATGAAGATCAGGATGCGAAAGTGTTGATTTTCACTGATCGGCAAGAAGCTGCGGACAACCTTCTCACCCTACTTCTTCGAAAGGGATATCCATGTCAGTCGCTTCACGGCGGAAAAGATCAAGCTGATAGGGATTCCACTATTTCCGATTTCAAAACAGGAAATACAAATATCTTGATTGCAACATCGGTGGCTGCTCGAGGTTTGGATGTCAAACAGCTGAAAGTCGTCATCAATTACGAATGTCCCAACCATATGGAAGATTATGTTCATCGTGTTGGACGCACAGGCCGTGCGGGGAACAAGGGTACAGCGTACACATTCATTACGCCTGATCAGGAGAAGTTTGCGGTGGATATTGTAAAGGCGTTGACTATGAGCGAGGTGCAAGTGCCAGAGGATTTGCAAAAGCTTGCAGACTCATTCATTCAGAAGGTGAAGACAGGCGCGGCGCAGTATTCTTCGTCTGGGTTTGGCGGGAAAGGTTTGGAAAAATTGGAAAAGGAGCGGGACATGGTGAAGAAGCTTCAAAAGAAAGCTCATGGTGCTGCTTTCGATGACGAAGATGATGAGGAAGATGAAGACGTCAAGTTCGAGGCAAAGGCAGTGCCAGCGGGGGCAGCTCCTCCACCAGTCGCTGGGGATAGTACAGCCACGACACCAGCTGCCAATGGAGGCGGTTTGGCATCGGCGGCGGTCAAAGCTGCACAAGAGGCAGCCGCAAAAGTTAATGCCGCTGTGGGTGCGTCCGGAGCAGCCAGAGCTCGCGACATTATTGCGGAAATCAATGCAAAATTCAAGGATGCGGCTGCAGGAGTCGGCGGCGAGGACAAGAAGCAAGCATCAGAGGCTGCATATGCATATGAGATTGAAATCAACGACTATCCGCAAAAGGCACGTTGGCGCGTTACAAACAAGGAGCAAATTTCACAAATCACCGAGCTCAGTGGTGCAGCCATTACAACAAGAGGCACCTACTTTCCTCCCGGCAAGCAACCTGGACTTGGAGAACGCAAGTTGTACTTGGTAAGTCAATTCTGTTGCATCCTCAAACACTGCCGATATGAATCTGACAAGATACTCTATAGTTTATTGAAGGTGATACGCAGATCGTCATTGATAAAGCAAAGGCTGAAATCAAACGTATCATTACGGAGGCTACCATCTCCAGTATGGAGAGCGAGGCTGCGGGTGGTGCTCGCTACTCAGTTCTGTGATGTAACCTGCTCGACGCGGTGTGACGTCGCATGTAGATAAGTTTAGATTGCACCTGCATATATGGAAAACACGATGTTTTGTGTGTACTTTATTACTACAGAAGGAAATATCGTCTAGTTAATCAATTGTCTACGACTGCCGCAGGAAAGGTTCTGTAGACAGCGACAACCATGCAGGTTCAGTTGACCTAATCAGAGTCTGTAGATTGGAGAGACTCCATAAGAGGGGGCAAACCCACGCCAGCTGTTGAAGAAAATGCGGCCATTCATGGAATTCCGGAAGAAGACCCGCATGTTACCATGGTCCTCCATGGCCACGAGCTGCCCCCGAGCTACGCGGACATTGACAAGCCACATGGTCCGGATGGACAAGCCTACCACTCCCTCTCGCGACGTGCTAGATACGTGCGCCGTTTGTACCTTGCACTTCATGGAAGTCTCCCGCCCTCTGTGCCGACCATATATATAGCTCCCGATGACGTTGTTTGTGTTGTTACCCTTGTTTGTTTGTGACTGGGTTTTCCAAAACTTCCCACGGTTTCTCTCACATCGCCCGTCGACCGTGTACTTCAGTGATGGACAGATCAATCGCGAGACACGCACCCAGTCTCAACCGTCGATATTAGGCCCGGCTGCTGATTTCCTAATCAGCCAGTGGTGCACGTCCGCATCGCCAAATGGGGTAAGGGAGCCCCACCGCGCGTAATTGGGAAGGATTTCGATTGCTCCTTCCCTGTGGTCGGACCAGCCGTGGGCGATGACCCAGTGCCATGTCTATCCTGCGTTCCGCCAGCACGATTCTAATTCACGTCGCTCGTGCTCATAGCTGCCTGCGTTCTGTTGTTGTTTATCTGCTCGGACGGCCGGTGTGAGCGGAGAACTTCCACCACACCACGATGGCAAACCATCCAAGGAGTCCCCCCATCGCGAGCAGCATCAAAACGCACCTCCTTGCTGACGCCGCCGTCGGTGCCGTGGATGCGTAGAAGGCCACCCCGACTTGTCGGCATACCTGTTGTCGCAGCAGGTAGACACGCGCGCCAACTTGCCGTCACCCTCTTATGCCCTGCTTGGAAGCAAGCAGAATCGCAGCAGGATTGACCGAGTGTATTCCGGTCGCTAGTGGCTGTCGGGTGCCGATGGTGGGCTTGCAATGATGCGTTGGTAAATGCCTGCCCTGGCGAACTAGTCTTCCACAGGAGCTCTTACTTCCTTTTTGGCCAAATCATCGCACTCATGGCGCTGATGGCTGACGCGTATTCTTTGCCTGTTTTGTAGTCGTCGAAGCGGATCTGGCTCCAATGGTGTTCCACACTCTGGGGAGGAGCGCTGAGGCAGTCAATGAGATTTATTGCAACCGGCGTTTGGTAGCGCAAGACTTGCGGCATCGCTTGGAGTCACAGCCGCGAGTGGAGTTACAAGCGGACGTGTAGCTGCATTACGTGAAACTAAAGCAGCGCGTGGAGTCACAGCGGCGCGAGGAGTTACAACTGGGCGGCGTGTTGCTGCACCTCGTGGAACTACAGCAGCGCGCGGAGTCACAGCCGAGGGAGGAGCTGCAGGTGTGCGTGCAGCTGCACCGCGTCCCTGAGCATTTTGACATCCCCGGCATGACGCAGTCATGCCGGGGAAGTCAAAATGCATCCGAATTCTATACAGCTGCACCTTTACGGAGCCCCAGAGGTTAATAGGGCTCTTCTTTCTAAAAAATACATGAAGTGAAAGACCAAAAACGGAAGAGAATTTCGATTGAAGAATTGAACTGATCATTAGGATTTGATGTTCGTTTCATTTATCCGCTATCCTTGTTTACAAAGTCAACCCTAAGGTTGCAACTGCGAGGTCTAACTTTCCATTCAATAATCCTCAGAGCGCTGAAGTGCGTCAAAACTAGACCGCGAGTTCTTGTTGAGAAGGATTTTATGAAAGATGGTGTATTACGTGATAGACATGACTACTCCTGTCCTCCTTATCAAGGAGTTGGTGACTCAGCCGCAGTCACACACGGTGGCGTGACTTGCACCTGACTGATCATGTGACTGGTCATCTGACCCAGATCACAACAAAGGACGCCGCACCTCCCCCACATTCAACAGTTCTGACTTCCTTGACCTGCGATCCTATCCGGAAAATGTCCAAAGATATCGCGAAGCATAACCTCAGATATGATAAGGTGGTACATTTCACCCTGCCAATGGAAATTCACGTGAATTCCGTTTCACTTGCCGGGCTGCTTGGAATTGGCATCCTGCTTTCGAGAAAAGGAACACGATTGCACCGCAAAATGGGTCGTGTCTGGGCTGGTCTAACGACATCTGGAACGGTATCCAGTTTCTTTGTCACGGAGTTCGC